CAGTTTGCTAGAAATGTGCGCTCCCAATAAACGGCTTATGACGCTATTATTTGGGGTTGTCCATTTTTGGAAGAGGGTGGTAACTGGGTTACCAAGACGATTACGCTTCAGGTTATCTTCGAGGGAATTCATTTATGAGAAGCCATTGGACGATATCGTGCGCAGCCCAACTGCTTTCCTAAAACGACTCAGATAAGTTAAGCAGAAATAAACTCATGATGGGCGGGGTGCAAACGGAGTGTTTGCAGTATGCATGTGGGTGTGTGTGTGGACTTGGCCAAAATTATTACCTCCTGTTCAACTGTATCAGAGCATCCAAATTTGGAGGAAATGTAGGCGACAGGGTATTTTTACACGGAAAGGAGGAGCTCCAGACGTAAAGTAGTCGGCCGGGCGTAAAATAAAGTCTACAATAACCCTGGCCACACAGATTCATAGCCCGTAGAGAGGTGTAAATCCCTACAAACACAGCCCAAGCTACACAGGGTTTCTTCGATTATATGGACTGCCGAGGTATTTGGTTCGGATCTGTTCAAAGTGCATCGGAATACTCTTCATGGCCAGACACAGCCCCATTTCACATCCCAAAAAATGATGGCCGCTACAGAAGTGTCAGGAAAGAGGCTCAGATGATGAAGATCTATAATGAAAATCAAAAGCTCGTGTGGTCCCGTCAATCATGGCCAGACCCCCTAGCGCACGCAAGAGCGTGCGTAGCTGCCTGGTTTGACTATATTTCAGGCATTCCAGAGATTTAAAGCTAAAAATCTCATTAGGTTTAATAGTCTACCGATTGAATCCAGTAGCCATTTAAAAGGCTTAATCAAGCTCTTAAGATGAGACTTGCATGCTCCCTTCCGAAGCGCTTTGTCCACTCTAATTCCTACCTCTATAGGGGTTACGGCAAGAAGAGGCTTAAAAATACTACCATTCCTCCAGCTTTTCTCAAATTGAAAATACGTTTGTCACAGCGATTATGGAATGGAAAATGGCTACTCCACCGAATATGCAATGCACTATGGCACTCACGATGACGAGATGGAACCAGCATAGAATGTCTCACAATTAAAAGTCCAAAATTAACAACGAGACCATGAAAATAAATTCACCAATCGATTGGGAAGTACAACAGTAACTTTCGTGACCATACCTAATTCACAAATTATAAGCTCATTAGTTCTAACTCAACTCGCTGAATCAGAAAACAGCAATATGCATTACCAAGGGCATGACATTAGAAATTTCTATACGATGCGATGACCAGCCGATGAACAAGTCAGTTCTTTTATCCTCCCAGACGAGTTATGTACCGATAAATCGACCCCGGAGGGATGGCAGGCTCGGTTGGCTCAGGCGGATATCGATCCGGATTCGAACCCGTGACCATGCGTGTGTGATAGTGTGTCACTTGCCACTACACCACCTCCGCCCAGTTATTGGTAATAATCACAACAGTCATCGGTAATAATCAGGAAAGTTACGGAGTGGAAGAAGATTTGAGGGTTTCAATGGCACTCAAAGTAGAGTGGTAAATAGAAAAGTCTCAAGGAGGGAGGTATAAAGGGCAATCACAAGTTTGAACGCTCTCAAATGTAATTCTCGGCAGGATCAGGCTAAAATTCCTGTAGTAAATCCTTGCAATCACGTATTCACTTAGGATACTAAAACTGCTATGTACTAGATCCGACCTTTGTTTCTTCCCTCTCGTACATAGAATATACCCTACACCACTGGTTGCGCGCCTACACTAATCGGGCCACCTGGGATCTCAGGAGAAAAGGATCCAGATTGAGGAAAGCTCAAGCATTTTGGTATCTTTGAATCACTGCAGCCGAAGAAGGACGTCATCTTTGTGCAGTCTATAACCAAGGAAAGCAAGAGCACATTAAAAAGTTACAGCGCAACGACAAGCAAAAGTCGAATGAACACAATCTATCTTTTGTGTTTTGAAATAAAATGAGTAAACGGGGCTTAGGAATGTGACCGGACAGAGGAACAGAGGTTTATTCAAAAAGACAGGCGAAGCATGTGCCATGCTCATCAATAATGCCGTCTGGCGGTCGTTTTCCTGATCATTCACCGTGGGAAAACCCTGTCTTTCAGTTACAAACATAAGAAAGTTATGATCCAGCAGAGCACAAAGTACGATGAAGCATCGCTTCAATAGAGCTTATAAGGAGAATTTTGGCATTAATTTCGTTTTTTTTTCGACTGAGGAAATGAGAATCCGCTGCGAGTGTGGGGCAGAGGAACAACTCGAAATTTAAAACTGTTCAGAAAACTTCAATGGAATACTGTGGTGGGGGAAATTAGAAAAGGGTAGATTGAGTTGTGAAGGAAATTAAATTTCAAAGAGAATGGAGAAGTGATGAGATGGACGGAGAAATAATCGGGGCAGAAGGAATCAGCAGCGAAAGTCAAAAGTCAATCAGGTTCATCAAAAATGAGCCGAAGGATGAGTTTTGCACAATCATATTGGGCGACACTCAGAGCAAATGGATAGCCGCCCGATGATCAAAGCCCTCACGGGTGACACTCCCTTCGGAGATGTATTTCATCGTTTTTGACCCACCGTTAAGACTGGACAATGAATAAAGATTTGCAATGGAACTTCTTATGAAAAATGGTTTCACTCCTCTCTCGTACCGAATAGCTAACCCAGTACTATGACTCCACCTTGGGTTATAATTGCATTTCATAGAGGTTCAAGAGAGGCCGAATTTTCAAAAACACAAAAAGACTTCAAAAGTTCTACTGCGGAAAAATCACGGAAATCTAGCCCCATGTCAGAAACTTTCCCAAGGTTCGCGATCAATCTGGCGAACGCCATTGTCAAACCCATAATATCAGTTTTTGTTATAACCATAAAGTTCGTGAAATGCATACCTATCCCAACCGGTTCCAACACCATAGTGCTTACCTACGAGTAGAGCGTGAATAAGATAACCTACCCTATGGATGCCCTTATAACAGGCTTACGACGGTAATGATACATACTCTGAATGGTATAATCCAACTGATCTAACATAACAAACAGGTAATAATGAGGAAGCAAAACATAAAAGGCAAAAAAGTATCATATTGATCAGAAACAAGTTTCAGTTAAAGACATTTCAGCTAAATTGAAGCATTTATTCAAAATCCCATGATACCGGTAACAAAATAAGTTCATTCTAACTGTATATACGTGACAAAGGCACACTAACACACCTTCCAAAGCACGGGTCAATGTTATCCTGACAAAATGAGATCACCAGCAAAGTAGAAAAATATTAAAAGAAAACGTATTGACAGTGCCTACAAAATGAAGCTACTCTTCTTCTCTAGCTTTGAGTTGCCTTAAAGCCGCTTCGTAAGTTTGACGTCTAGGGAAAAAGTCATGTAAATACTCGAGCTCATCGTTTTCAAGTACATATTCGGCCACTTCATCGTAGTCAATGTGTTCTCCATACTGTTTGGCGACGTTCTTTACAAGATGCTCCATGAACAACTCAGCTCCCTTAGCCACACAAAACAGCGCCTCTGGAGAGAGTTGCAGACCATCGGGAACCGTTCCAATGATAGTTTTAATGCGGGACAAAGGCAACGCTGTTTGTCCTGCATCATCTCTGCCCGTATCATCGAGCGGCGCATCCGATGGCGATCCTTGCCCAGTATCCATCACACAATTTCTAAACCAAAACTTTATTATGGTTATAAACCAATTGATTCCGAGCTACCATGACGACATAAGTAAGTGCACCTTCATCGAAATACCTTGAAATTACATGAGCATTACCATCCAATCTAATTCACCAACGAATACCACTTATAAAACTCGTGAAAAACTGCTATACTACATTGAAACTTATTATTTCAATCTGAAGGGAGTACATGGAGAGTTAAAGAGGCAGTAAAACTTCGATAATCTATTGTAATGATCCGTAAGGATGGAACCTGTTTGGAACCCATTGGTGAAAAACCCCTAAGAAACGAATGATCCCTGGGTCGTAATGCTGCTATGATTGTTACAAGTTTTTCAGGCTTTCGCATTTCAATGTAGCTGTCAATGAGTGCCAAACTTACCAAGGGATACGTTTCTATCCCCCAGAGATTTCAATATATCATGTATTAGGTGGGGGTAGCTTGTTTAGAAAAAAGTTTTGGAACAAACTTTCAAAAGTTTGAAGCCGTATCGGAAGCTTTTTGGATAACCTACGTGCTTTGCCTGAACTAAGTCTAGAAACGTGACATCTGCATTTCCCAAGGCATTTGAACTCAGAGAGAGGTATTCGATGTAAAGCTCAATGTAAACAGCAGTACAGCATGGTTCAAGATCAGCGCTTGGGAACATACGCCGAGAAGAATATTAAACTAGATGAAATATGATAGCCCTATCTCAAAGAGCGGAATCTGAAAATACATATTCCGAATACCAACAACACAGAATAGCCTGATCTGCTTTAAATAACTTATTAATTCCCTTTCCGTTGTGCTCATAATAAGCTAATAACACTAATGAGAATAATACAACAAAAGGAAGCTGTAGAACAAAACTTTCATGTAATTTAGCAACGCACTGGAGGGAGCTGTTTGTGAAACGATAACGTCAGGTATTCATTGGAATTCGGAGCAGTTGAAACAGTTGCATTTGTCGGGTGACACATGAAATGCGGGCACTCGGAAAAACAATGCAGGCCATTGCCCCACATCTCTGATGTGATGGTAAAGTTGAATGTCAAACAGAGAGATCGTATTTCGAGAGAACAAGGATCAAAGGGGTACCTGATAGCCTTAAGATTCAGATGGTTCAAAATAGTTCTGGTTTCAGATCAAGACACAAAAAACTGGTTTCAGGACAAGACACAAAAAACAACAACGATCAGGACGATGTAGTTGTGAGATCGTGTACTTCTCTTTAGAAGCTAAATTTAACTTTTGAGCTAAAAATGAATTGTTGATGGAGGACCGAGTACCACCTGACATGAACAGCACGCCCTATGCTCACGTTCTAATTTAAACAGCCCTCATTTCGCGCTCTTCCGCTACCACGCCCCAACGTCAGCATACCCCCGTAGATTGAAAATTTTAACGGGAATCCAAAAGCTGTGAGTTTTAGCCCTTCCGGCTGCTGTTACCTTAGAAACTGGCGAAAGGTTCGGTGAAGTCCCTCCCAAGGAAGTTGCCCAATTGGATCGCAAATACAACATAGTATAGTCAGAATTACATCTTATCCAGGCCAATGTATAACCTTTAAGGGTTCGGGGATTACTGTGGGCAGAATTTTAACCCTGTTTTTATCCCGAAAACGGATGTCAAAGTCGTAGTCGCTACATTGAATCAAAGATATCCTCAGAACAGCCGTTTGATTCCTACTGGATGGCGAGGGGTTAAAGCTTAAATTAGTCGGAAGTAAAGACAAAAACGAAGGATTTATTCCAAAAAGCTCTAACGCTCCATGGGAAAAGGAGGCAATATTTCTAAAAAGACAAGATATAAGAGATGATCAGTAAACGGATCACCAACCCTAATCTACCCCAGACACTGGATCCTTAGCAGAATCTACAAAATGCTTAGTTTCCCAGAAACATAGCGACGACATGGGAAATCCTGTCCGGGAACTGGTTATAATCCAGCTGTCAGTCCAAACCTAAACGATTGATTGCGATGCAACACAACCCCTCTACCATATACGACCAAATTCCTTTGTCCTTGCTCAAGGTCACTTTTGATGCCTCGTATGCATGACAGATTGAGGACTTGGGTATTCAAATCGGGTCTTGCCATGAACAGTAAGGTATCATTTAGAATAGAGCGCTGGGCGCTCAGGGCTAGGCCCTGATGACAACGCCGGTGATCGATCGTATCGCACGGGTTGGCAAAGAACAATTTCTTGACTGAGTTTTTATCACTATTATTCATTTTTACGTCTACGGACTTCTTCTTGACTACGACGGCATAATGTGACGAAAGTAAATCGTCATTAGAGACCTTTACGCAGCTCTGCTTGATTGGAAAAACTGCTCGAACGCAAACAGCGTCAGTGGGACGCGAACGCTAACGCGGCCTACGAGCGTCGAACGCTACCCGCCCACAGAAAAGCGTCCAGCGCTCAACGCCTCACTCGGAAAGGGCCCGAACATGCCCTTGAAAATAGTCTTTTTTCAAAAGGAAGCTCAAGAGATTTTTAGACCGACTGACATCAACACTAGCAAACGACCCCAATGCAAAATAAGATGCTCTAGAGAATCAATCCGTCTAGAAGAATTGCAACATGTACAGTTGATACTTCGACTGGATGATTGCGAAGCGAATAACATAAAAATCACATGGGCGGTAAGATGAATGGTTGATTTGACCGTGGGCATCGACTTTTTAAGCATGGCATTTTCAATTTTTATTATTATCGAACATGTCATAAGGATGTGAAGAGTCACCATCAACAATACATCAAATACGAATACACTCAATTATCTAGATTTTTTGTTCGATTCCAATTTGGAAGGTTTTTTTACTAACAGGTTTTCTCTACATCACCGTCCACCACGAAAAATCTTCATAAAGAATACATGTACACAGAATAATGTAATGAGGACTTAGCTAACAGAAACGAAGTATTTTCTATAACACAACGAAACACATGAGTCTCAGTAAGGGGAGAGCTTTAAGAAATAAAAAAAAAACGATGCTCCAGCATCACCATATTACGACGGAAGATAACGCAGCTTCTTAATGAGATTGGAATAAATAAAACAGACCTTGCGTGAACATCCAAAACTAATTAAATCGATCAAATGTGTGGTGGTAAATGAGCACAAAAAAATAAAACAGAAGAAAAGGACAACAACCTCAAATGTCTACGACTGTTTTGAAAAAATTATAAGCATAACAATACAAGACCCGAAAGACTTCCGTAGATTTCAGGTGATGTCTCAATATACTTCCATAAAATAAACGAATAGATAGGAAAAAATTCAGATCGACTCACGTTCTCTATAATGATATTCTGGAAAAGAACTATCAACACACATATTTTGCCTTTCGATCATAAAGATCCATCTAACAACAGCCAATTATTCATGTTTGCTGATCTAAAGCACACTCAATTTCAATTGCAAGTTCTCTTACTAATTGCCAAAAAGCTGGTGTTGGCTGACAGCATGACACTCGAATTACTAGTGGTCCAACTTTCGTAATGTCTCTAATCCCTCAGTAGTAGTAAGTGGCCCAAATATAAATCGACTGTGCGACGGGAATCGGGTGGTAAGCAGCTCACGATTGGTACTTAAGAGTGTATGGTAAAACAAAAAAAAAATAGTGATGTGCGATTTCTGACAGTGCAATGACAAAGAACGATGAATACACATTCGACGGAATGAGAATATTTGTACACGAGGTCCGAAATACTGCGATGAAGTACAATACGGAAATCTGCTCTGTCTCCTATCATGAAGCTGAAAATGTCAAATCAGTCAAGTATTTCGAAAAGGATCCATTACTATGGCCATAGTCCTCTGTTCAAATAACGTTATACCGCCTTGGTAGCATAGCCACACCTTGACGATTTAATCTCCATTTTGCCTGTATGTAAACCATAACAAATTGTATTGATGAACTGGTGCAGAACTTAACACCACCTAAAGCGGGCACAGTTCACTGTAAAAGGAGGGTCTCTCCATCCAAACATCGCGCGCGTGAAAGACAATACAAAGGGACGCATGTAAATAGGAAATAGTATGTCATATTCAGCGGCGACTGACGATCACCAATTCTGAAAAGGAAGGGGAGGGGGGGCTCATTTAAAGATACCACATCTCTTGCAGATAGACCAATCCCGTCATTAATAAAGTAATGCGAATTGCTGAAAAAATCAAGTTATTGTGAAAAGCTCGCGTATTACAAAAGTTAGAGCTAATTAGCAACGCAATTCACTCTGAAAAGATCAAAACTCTAAAGTATGCAGATCACGACGAAGGTGTACACCATACCAGAATTTCAATTCTTCATAATAAAATAAAAATCAAGAAACTCACCACTATCACTAGTAATGACGGGCAAGCCATTATCAGACTTGAGCAGAAGTTTTTTGCTAGGTATATCACAAGCTAAGTCAGTATCAGTGGACCTCTTCCTCGTCAATGGAGTGACATCCAAGACATTTTTTTCATCACCCAACCTAAACGCAAACGTTCGAAAATAAGAATCTCTAACAAAGTTAATGTCGAAAACTCACTTCAATGCTTGGTCCCCGACATCGAAAACGGGTCTTTGTGTACTATCTGTTACTACATTATTTACATCAGGTGAAGCGCTGACATCGCTCAATCGATTTGATATCTAAATACGAAAAGTAGAACTTATGGAGGAAATCTAAAAACCTAAAGGTGAGGTAGAAAAAAGAAGAATGACATCGAAGACCGAAATCTGATCCTGAAAACTCTAAATTCTCAACAATCACCTCAGGATTAGATGCGCTTTTTTCTATAGTTTCACTCGCTTCACTTTGTGCTACATTTCCAGAAGCCACGGAAGCATGCTGGTTTTCAGATGAGGAGGACGAATTGGTAGCGACGTTCAGGTTTTCCGTCGACGCAGACGTCATTCGGGCCTGAAAGTGACCTTGCAACTCAAGAAAAACTTTTGAGAGTAGTGAGCACTGTCTAGCGTTCGAACTACAAGTCATTTAGGTGGCTTTGGATTTTCTCAATGTGCTAATTGAAGTATCCTCTCAAAATTTGTGGTGGATTATAGATTGAATATGAACATATCCAAAAGGGCATTTGAATGAAAAACTGTTTGAAGGGCACCACTTCATAAAGACGAAATAAAAAAATAACAAACCAAATTAGAGCTGGACCCGGTACCCGATGACGTTCGACCGATAGTACGCCTTACTGCATGGCGACCGCGCATGTAATCCTCCTTGGAGATCCACTGCCCAACATCAGCTCGTCGAACATATTGCAGATCCACCTAAAAACCAGCGAATCTAGAAAATCATATGTATTGTCTGTATTGTGCTGGTGTTGTTCGAGGTATTATTGAAGGGCCGTTCAGTTTTTCCTCCAAATCTCGACATACGACAAGATTTCAGGATGCCAAAAAAGTTGTGCTAGTTGCCGTCGGATTCATTATATGATTTGCTATACTGAGCTAAATATATGCGGAGCGCAAGGGATATTTTTTATGTTTTGCTGTTTTCTCGTGCAGTCTAGACTTTATAAAGCACGAAACCAGAGCGCTCACAGACTGGATCACCTGGAAGGTTAAATAAACACCCTAACGACCGGTAGTACGACCCACGAGGTGCTGTTAGCAAATGGTGTTCTATGCCCGTAAATAGAAATATTCACAAACACAGTAGGTACCTTCATCCCTTCGTTGTAATTTTTCATTTTGATACCAGTCGTCACAATTATGTGGTGGAATTGACTGATCTCCACCGTCAAATCGAAAGCCTTAGCCATCGCACGATCAAATTCCAAGCCGATAAACCACAACGTGCATACTGGGTTTCTGAAAAGCAGCTGATTAGAACTTATCGATGAAATGAAAGTATCAAATAAAGGTTTCAAATCTGGATTCTATGACCTGCAATATGAAATCAGAGAATATGAATAACTTACTCATAACCCGGCCCAAATGAAGGAACAGCAGTAGGGAGCGGTTTGTACTGTCGAGGATTAATATGAGCTAACGAAATTCCTTGATTACGCTCAAGAGCACCAATCAAGTGTCGAATTTTTGATTCCACAAAACCACAGAAGATAAGATGATCTTCTTCTGTCCTTGCTGCACAAGTAAGGGCTAAAAAACATTTGAATAATCTCCACATGTGCTTGAAATTCACGAAAGTTAATCAACTCACAAATGAAATGTTTATATCTCGTGAAGAAATTTACTTCTTCAAACAGCTTTGACCATTCTGCACGGCCTTCATAAATGTCTTTCATAATCTCAAGCCCTGGAAAAGTACCGAAGCTATGAGAACAGAACAATTTTCAAAATTTCCATAATACTGGGCTGCATTTCATTAACCATTTCGAGAAAAAGAAACGTTCCGAAGAGAACAGAAACTCTCCCTGTCTTGAACCTTAATGGGCTTTCGACAGTGACATAGGTAAAGAAAATTATAGAGCTCCTAATGGGTTAGCAAGATGAAAAAACCGTACCTTCTTTCATCTCGTTGATCATTATGCTCCTCGTTGAATTCGTAACATTGAATGTGGAATTTTGTTCAGGAAAAGCAGGTGTGAGGATGGGCATGAGGTGAAACCTGAAATAGTACCGTGCAACTACGCTAAAAACAATTCAATCCAAACAATAAGTACCTGTCCGATCCACGAATTCGAGGATCCCATACGAGTTCTTGGAGATTCCCTATATCAGGCCGTGCACTGGTGTCCATGTCCTTCAAAACAACAGGAAGGGGCCACTCCCTATAATGCAGTAAAACGCCTCAATAGAAATTTCAATATGTCGCACGAGTGATCTAGCCTGACTAACCATGTAACAAACACTAGAAAAAATTTGAGGAGTAATTTGGAGGGAGAAGCATTAGGATACAGTTGACAAGTTCGTGCCACTAATATTGCCCAGGTAACTCCTCCAAGGAAACCTGTAAACAATGCGCAATTATTTCTCAAAGCTTTTATGAATATACTAGAGTTTACCTAGCACGTTTGAGTAAATTCCATGATTCTTGGCCCATAATTTGACAGCCCGCAAGCACAGTGCAAATGCTTCTGGATATGGTACTAGCCGCAGGATCTCATCAGCCACTCGACAACCTGCAAAATGGCTTAGAAAAATAGCTTTACTGGTATGAGGCAAGTAGGTTGAGCGCTTCAGTTGTTAAGTGTGCTCCATGTGGCGTGATATCATCCACGGGTTGTTTTCCAATGGAAGAAAAGAAAACGGAGAAGAAGAAATATGGGTATTGAGATCTTACACGAGCTTCACTTTGATTCTAATCGAGAGGGAATAAGAGATAGACTTTTTTATACTTTATAACTAATACATAGGCAATAAAAATGTACCATTTCTCAAATCACAAATGAATGCAAATTGACTGATGGAGTGAAACATACCGTTCAATGATCTTATACTCTTATCGTCTAGATTTTTCAGAAGCATGTCGTCATTCAAAGTTTGATCATCGGGCACCTCCTGAAAGAAAGTTTATCATGAAGGTAGGGTACCCATCTACTCTGAAAAAAATCAACAGAGCTGACATTGTTACCATATTCATCTTCATAACATTTCTCTACGGGTAGTATAATTGGGAAATCGCTTGATACAGCTCTTCATTCCTTGTCGAAAACTCCCAGATGTTCTAGCACCTTTTATAATGATCGTTGCAATTTAAAGAAAATCATGAACATTATATGCGATTTGTTTGGAATACACGCTACATGGTTTGTTTAAACAATGCTCTCGCTTCACTTGATAAAGAGCGCAATCAAATTTTTTTCATGATGAAGGCACTCCGGGAAACCTCCTCCCCGCCCAATCATGTGATAAACTCAGATGTTTGCGTAACCGTTACTGAAACTTTACTCGTTTACGGATGAAGGGAAATGAGTAATCCCAACACTGTGTGAAGGCCTTTCAGAATACTATGATGTAAAATTTTTCTTACATTGCAGGAAACTGCCTATCTTGTTTAAATTCCTTGGAACAATTGTTCGAAGAAGTGACTGGCGCAAAACAATTTTCTTTTCGTACCCGCATTCAAGACATGGGTGACTAGATATACTCTGCAAAAACCTGAACCAATCCAAGTTCTTTTTTTTTTATTTGAACCCATTATGATTGAAATAGGAACAATGTATGCGCTAATGACGAGAGACTTTATAGGAAAAAAATATATCTGGCGATTGGAACGTTCCATATTACAATGGGATGTGATGCATTGTATGAACATAGCAACGATTGCAAATATAAACGAATGGTATCAATAAATATCTAAATACGTAAGCAGTAATTACCTTCAATGCTAGTCTTGCGAATAGGATATCTAATTCGATTCCAGCATATTTGAGCTTGATGACTGGAACGAATGCATCTTCGACTGCATGAAGATCGGTTACTTTATCATCCTACAAAGAAAAAAAATCTCTAGCTTAGAAAAGAAAAACTGAATAAAATGCTTACTGCTTTAAGCATATCGTAGAATGAACCGAAGAAATCAGAGCGATCAACATGCCTAGGCGCTACACATAATGTATCGATATCAGCTCCTGAACGAATGAACTATCGATGAAAACGAGCGATTAACATAATTGCTAGTATTACATCAAGGAAAAAGGAGCGATGATTTTGGGAAATATGAGAAAAGGGGGAGAAAAGTGGAATTATGACTCGACATACCTCTTGTGTGTACTCCTAACCTATAAGATCCAAAAGTAAATAATTTTCCACCAACGTTCTCACACATCTCGGCAGGGAGCTAAATTTTTTCTCATTAAAGACTATAAATTAAAATTTAAAGACTATCAAGTGGTGATAAAACAGATACCTTGGATTCAGATACTTTTCGCACCCAGTTTTTCACTAACGAGTTCAGTTTCCGAAGAACTTCAATTCTTGCATGCATTTCCTCATCAGTTTCAAAAAGGTTGAAATTCTTCAGACATTCTACTAGCTAAAACCAAATCATACCATTCCAGTATTGGGAAACAGAAACAATTATCGAAAGAGGATCAAATTATGAGTAAAACTACTCACCTGCGTAGTTAGGCGCAAATCTCGGGCGTCAGGTAGCGCTTTAGATATTGGTTGGCTAACGCCCAAGCAGGGAGTTTCTCGGGCCTCCCCAAACCCATTCTCCTTGCTCATCCCTGGATACATGTGTATATTATGTTATCATTAACACTTACAACATTAAGACAGAGAGAGAATTTCTCCTACGGTAAGAAATAAATTTTATTGCAGCATGTAAACAACATGTGAGCAATGAAAATGATTTTAATGCTTGAAGGAAATTCTAGATTATGCATGAAGCATAAGGAATGGAACTTGAAATATTTGCTAATCAATGATGAACAATGGTTATGAATTCGAAAAAAAATCCGAAAGTTAACGTTTCAAAATGGAATACAGAAATTTATAAAGTAGGATAACCACGATTCCAAATGCGAGTTTCTGAGAATTCTTTGATGACAAACACGAAGAAAGTATACCACCACTCGGTTGCTTAGCAACAGTAAAGATACCAAAAAAACGTAGATGAGCAGTCTTCAAATCTAAGTGGAAGAAAAACAGACCGCAGCGAAAAACAAGTGTAAGATTGTTGCGGAGACAAAGATAAGAAAGATTGGAATACGTTCTTAAGTTAAAAGTAGTATAATGTTAAAGTGCAACTGCAAATAAGGGACTCAAGTAAGTAAGAAAGACCTAAGTAACCTAAGGAACATAACCAATCTCCTTATGCGGGAGAGCGTTCCCTAAATAAACATGTGACGTTAATTATGAGCTTATGCCGTGGTCACGGTTGAAGCAGGTGAGTGGACGCTAAAAGAAAAGTTGTTGGCTTCTGCGTTCAGCGTGATGAGTAAATCGTGAGGAGTTTTCGTATTCATCATACGAATTGGCATGGATCCAAACTAGTTCTCAATGATTATTCAAAGGAGCAGAAACAAATTCTAGTCGAGATTTTGGTCTTGGGGCTAATTTCAAGGGGCTATGTGACTGATTTACGCCAAGATGGGTACAAACATGTGTCACAACTTACGACTTACAAATGGAGTTGCTCGTTATCTACGTGATTATTTTGCTTTCCGCTGAAGGTTGCTCTGAAATCGTTGCACAGGTGTGAAAACTTTTCGGGCCCAGATTCATACCGTAATTTTAGTCGTAAAGTAATTGTCGAGGGGATGTTTTTGTCATGGGACGAGTTGTGCTTGCCGTAATTATCTTTCGGAAAGTACATGCTCTTTCACGAGTTGCAGCTCTGTGATTTAATATTGGGAATTTGGGCACGTATTGAGTTGACGTTTTCTAAAACCGCATTATGGCTCCACCGCGTAAACTCCTCATAGAGTACTTACGAGTACATTCCATCATTCAGAAGCTTAGTGCATATCAAACTGTGCGAGATGATAACGATTGATTGACGATGACGTAGCTGATTAGTCATGAAAGCCTGCATTAGATTGCAGTTTGTAATGTGGGGCTTGTTGGGCTAGCACTTAAACCACTACGTTTCAGCCGTCTGGCGACAATGTGTAAGTTCCACAGATCTAAGAGGGCCTTGTAGAGCCATGAATCTCTAACGAGATCTACTAACTACTAGAATTGACCCCTAAGTTTTACTCAAGACGTTCGGAAATCCACTGAAATCCGTAAGTTTATCGATCAAATCCTTACGGTTGCGACGATAATTAGGCAGCAGTTGGTTCGAAATTCACAAGCTTCATTGTTCCGTTAGCGGCGCTTCTGAAGCCCTCAGGAGATGTTTTCAGTTACCTTTACTTTTTGTGCAATTCTTTGTCATCGCCTCTCTCTCTCTTTCTGATTTATTGCGTTGATCGAAAGACAACATGGTTACCTTAGCACGAATTTTCTACTTTTCAATAACACAGTACAGGAGTGGACGCGAAGAATTTTCGAAATACATAGCAGAGAAGTAACACGCCCTTCGCCGCACGATTGGAATATTGACTGCATTTATAGTACTACCGCTGACGCCGGCATCTGCCGTCGATCGATATCCCGCAGGTCCATATTGATGACTTTTTGAGGGTCCAAACTTAGTTTTTTTTT